TGATTCCCATTTGCATGTACTAGCTTTTTCAATCCTTTCACTTTTGATCTGTTTTTTTCTTTGTGAGATGTTTTTCTTGTAGAGTGCATAGAGATTGGACTTGATTTTAATCCATTCAGCCACTCTGTAACATTAAATGGAGTGTTTAGTCTACTTACATGCTTTGTCATTGTACTAAGTAATGTCTTAGTCCTGACATTTTTCCATATATATTCCTATTGCTTCTTTTGGATAACCTTTGGACTATTAAATTTATGCCTTCCATTCTTTCAGGATGCTGATCATCTTTCTTTGTTTTTCTGTGTAGTTAATACTTAAGTATCACTTGAGAGGCTGGGACAAATGGTGGCAAATTTCTAGTTTTTTAAGAAGATGCTTATTTTATCTTCTTTTATAAATAAGAACTCAATGCAGTGTTTTGGGCTTTTGAGGTTTTTAATTTGGGTAAGATGTAGACTATATCTCTCCATCTCTCCTAACCTGTTGGTTTCTGATGAGAGTCTTATTGTCAATCTAATTGGAGATCTGTTACAAGATAGCTGATACTTCCCTTGTACATTTTAGGATGTTTTCTTTGTTTTACCTTTGAAAATTTGAATATAATGTGTCATGGTAAAGATCTCTGAATGTGACTCTTTGCAGTTCCATGTGTTCTTGTACTTGGATATCCATATATTTAACAAAATTAGGAAAATTTCCTGTTATTGTATCACCAAATAAGTTCTCGAAGTCATTTCTGCTATTCCACTCCTACAGGAATGCATAGGACCAGTATATTTTGTCTTAATGGTACCCTGTAGATCCTGAGGCATTTTTTTTTTGCATTTTTATAAGTTTAAAATGTCCTTTCTTTTTATCAATTTCAAAACCTTTTTCTTCCAGCTGAGACATTGTTTATTCTACCTTACTGAGTCTGTTTTTCAAGTTTTCCACTGTTTCTTTTACTTATTAAATTTTTTATTCATAATATTTCAGTTTTGATTTTCTTTAATTTTTTTCTTAGCCTAATTTCTTACCCATATCATTCACAGGTTCTTTAACTCTTGTGATTGCTTCTGTGTGTTTCTGAGGAGCCTTACATTTTTAAACTTCCTCTTCAGGCATTTCATCAATCTCATCTGCACAGTCTAACACTGAAATATCATTGTGTTCCTTTTGCAGTCATATTGTCTCCCTCATTCATGTTCCTTGTATTTTATGCTAATTTCATGTGTATGGAGAAAACACTTGTTGATATCTCCTCTAAGTCTCTGTACTTAGGAATCTGCCCCTAGGTATGGTGGGATGCCTCTGTATCTTCCAACAATCCAGAGGTGTGTACTAGCTGGGGTCAAGAGTTCTGGAAAACTTTTACAGGTGGGCCCAAAGCCTAGGGTAAAGACTATGAGCAAAGACTTCTATGTGAATCAGGCTCACATCCTCATGCTGGTGCAACAATCTCTTGCCACAGTCACCTGTGGGATTGTTTCTCTCCAGTGTCTCAGACACCTCCATCAAAATAATGGAGAATCAGAGAAGTCAGGACAATATCTGTGGCTGGCACTGTGGCCTAGTAGTCATAGTCTGCAGTTCTGTTATTCCATAAGAGCATCAGTTTGAGTAGTTTTTGCTCCACTTCCAATTCAGCTCCCTGTTAATTTTCCATGGGAAAGAAGCACAAGATGACCCAAAATCTTGGGCCCCTGAATCCAAGTAGGAGACCCACAGGAAGCTCCTAGCCACAGCTGTGAGCTGCTATAGGAAATCCAATGTCTCATTTTTCTAGTTATTGGAATTTGTGAGCTTTACTTAACTCATCAGCTGACCTGAAATCCTGAAGATTCTAGCTATCTCAGTTCCACAGTGTGTCTCTGTAGTCAGGCCTTAATTGTTTACTAAGCAACCTTTGTGATAATATAGACTTAAGGACTTTATTGGTGTCCACTTGTCACTGACTATGCCTGTGCCTAGACATGCTCAATAGAGGTGCTTGTTCACCTCTCTGTATCAAATTTTTCATAAACTTTACCTTTTGCACACTTTCCAAGGTAAAATGATGTGATTCATTTTATACCCAATTTCCTTAGGGTTTTCATCAATGAAGGATGTGTATTTTATCAAAAGCTTTCTCTGAATCTATTGAGATAATCATATGGTCTTTGTAGTTCAATTTGGTAATGTGATGAATCACATTTATTGACTTAGGAATGTTGAACCATCCCTGAATACCAGAGATGAATGATCTTTCTAATGTGTTGTTGGATTTGATCCACTAACATTGTGTTGAGGATATTTGTGTCTATGTTCATCAGGGAAATTGGCCTATAATTCCCTTTCTCTATAAATAAAAGCTTTTATTGTTTACTTGAAAGTTGGTGTTACAGAAAGAAAGAAAAAGAGTGAGGTCTTGCATTCCCTGATTCACTCCCCACATTGGCTGTAATGGCCACAGCTGCACTGATCCGAAGCCAGGGGACAGGATATTCTTCTGGTTCTCCATGCAGTTGCAGAGGCCCAAGGACTTGGGCCATCTTCTACTCCCTTCCCAGGCCACAGAAGAGAGCTAGGTGAGAAGTGGAGCAGACTGGACTCAAACCGTGCCCAAGTGGGAAGCTGGCACTGCAGATGGCAGTTTACCCAATACACCATGGTACCAGCCCCTATAATTATCTTTCTCTATTGCAACTTTTTTTCTTGTTTAGGAACTAAGGTGAAATTGGCTTCAAGGAGAAGTTAGGGAGGAATCCCTCTATTTCAGTTATTTGAATAGCTGAGAAGAATTTGAATTAGTTCTTTAATTGTTAGATACAATTCAGAAGTGAGGCTGTCCTTTCTGGACTTTCTATTGGGCTGGTTTGTATTATTGATTCACTCTCCATTTAGCTTATTGATCTGTTTAGGGGGTAAGAAGATTACTGGTTCTAAATTTGAAATGAATGATTTTTTTATACTTTAAATAAAGGTTTCTAGGTAAAAAATAGGATAAACTCATTTAACAGATGTGAAAAAATAAACTGAGTGATTATGTGGAAACTTTTCTCACAAAGATGAAACCATTATAGGAAATATAATTTTAACCTGGACATTATTGAATTTTTAAGAAGTTTGCATTTTGTATGGTAGCAAAATATCTTTTATCTCTCTCTCTCTCTCTCTCTCTCTCTCTCTCTATCTATATATATATATATATATATATATATGATATGTATATATACATATATATATATATATATATACATGCCTGAATAATGTATCTATAGATATTCTTTGGATTCTTTTTGTTCTGGTTGTAATATATAATGATTCACTCATAAAGGTAAATGAACATTTTCACAAGTATCTTATGGTCTACAAATGTCATATCTTTACGTTTTTGAAAAGTATCTTTTCTATTTTTGCATTTATTTTTTAATTTTGACATAATTTTACACAGTTATAGAACACAATGTGATATTTTGATTCAAGTATGAATTGTGTAATGATGAAATTAGGAGATTAGTAAGCATGGCGTCTTAAACTCTTGTCATTTCTTTGTGATGAGAACATTAAAAGTTCTCTCTCCTAATAATAATAATGACTCATTATTGCTAACTATGGTCATCCTACTGTACAAAAGACACCAGAATCATTTCTCCTATCTAACTGTGATGTTGCAGCCTTTTTTCATGTCTTCCTATTTCCCTCTGCCCAAGTTTCTCTTCCCCTGGTAAATAATAATCTACCCTCAACTTCTTTAAGATCAACTACTGTAGATTACACATATGAGTGAAAACATGTGACCTTTATTTTCTCTACCTGGCTTGTTAGAGTTAACTTAATATTCCCCAGGTCCACACACACTTTCACAAAATACAAGACTTCAGCCTTTTTGTGCCTGAAAAGAAATTATTTTAGGTCACATTCTATGCCAATGAATCTACAAGGACACGAAGTCTCCACGAAAGACAGCTGTACCACACACATAATTGAAGGCTGAGTGTATCTCTCATTATCTATCCAGGTGGATAAAAATCATGAATAGAACTTTACTGAATTTGTTTTATAATTTAAATGATCACTTATGTTAATTTACATTTCTGTAAATTACAGCCTTCACATTTACAGCTAAAACACTCTCCATTTTTGGAAATAGGGGATGGCAGTTTTTTTTAATTTATTTTATTGAGATAAAATTCAAATAATAAAAATCCAACATAGCAATCCTTTTAAAGTGTACAATTTAAGAATTATAACCAACTTCCTAATATTTTTAAGCAGAACATATGATTGTATTAGGGATTTACCTGGATTACATCATATAGATATTATTTAGGGTACATTAATATAGTTTAAACATTGAAAATGTTGCAATTTATTTATGGTCATATTATCATATTATTCCATTACCAATTAGACTTTACACCAGGAATCAAAGTAGAAAATATGTTAATGCATTTATCCACATTGATAGGATTAACAAGAATCATATATTCATGTTACTAAATAAATACTATGGGCAATTAATGGAAATAAATTTAATTAAATCAATACTATGCTGCAAAATATTTCTAAACAGCATGAAAACAATTGGTATAAAAGTAATGACACTTGAGCTAATATGGTTTAGTGGGTAAGGCTGCTGCCTGTGATGCTGGAATTTTTGCAGGCACTAGTTTGAATCTTGACTGTGCACTTTCATTTAGCTACCTGGTAATGAGCCTGGGAAAACAGCTAAAGATGAGCCAAGTACTTGGCCACTGAACACATGTGGAAGGCTGAGTAAAAGGTACTGGGCTTTATTTGAGCCCAGTCCTGGCCATTGCAGCCATTTGGGGAGTGAACCAGCAAATAGAAGACCACTCTCTTGCTCATTCTCTCTCGCTCTTTCCCATTTTTTCTCTCTCTCTGTCTTTACCTCTCTGTAAGTACTTTTCAAAGAAAGAAAAATAATTTTAAAAAGTTAAAAAAAGATATAAGTTATTGGAACATAAGCATTTGCCAGTTGTTAAGATGCCTTTTTGAATTTCTGCATCTCATATCAGGGTGCCTTCATTCAAGTTTAAGCTCTGGTCTTGAGTTCAGCTTTCTGACACCTTGGGAAGCAGCAGGTGAAAGAGCCCTAAAATAAAAATTTCAAAACTTGTCTAAAGAAATAACAGGAAACAAAAAATGAAACACAATTTCCTTGTCTGTGGATTGGTTGAATTAATACCATCATAATTAAAATACTACTGACAGCAGTTTATAGATTCAATGTGATCCTAGAAAAAAATGGTGCTATATTTCAAATATAAACAAAGAGATCCTGATTAGATAACACAATCTTAACCAAAAAATAAATAAATAAATAAAGACAGAAACATTGTAACACCAGATTTTAAGACATCCTACAGTTATATTCAAAAGAGCGTGCTACTGGCAATAAAATATATTTGCAGACCAATGGAACTGAATATAACTCCCAGAAATCAATTCACACATCTGTAGACAACTATTCTTTGATAAGGGCTAAAATCAATCCCTGAAGAAAGGACAGTCTATAGAACCAGTGCTGTTGAGGAATTTAACCTCCACCTGCAGAAATATGAAAAAAGACTGTATAGACCTTAAGCAAAATCAACTCAAAATGGATCAAGAATATAATCTATGACCTGATACCATCAAATAACTAGAGGAGAATTCTGGGGAAACTTTGCAAAGCATTGGAATATAAATTAATTATTGTAAAAGACATCAAAGCACAGAGAAATCAAAGCAAAATAGACAAATGGGATTACATCAAACTAAGACTCACTGCAAAGGAAACATTAAACAAATTGAGGAGTCAATTGATAGTATGGGAAAACATATCTGGAAACTATGAAACTGCTAAGGATTGATACCCATAATCTATAAAAGTTCAAGAAACTCAACAAAAAACAATCAAGTAAATAAATATTCAAAGCACTTGAACAAGCATTTCTCTAAATAGAAAATTCCATTAGTCAAAAGATAAAGAAAACCATGCTCAAGATTGGTAGCCAACAGGGAAATACAAAGAAAAACCCCAATGAGGCTTAACTTCACCCCAGTTAGAATGTCTCTCATACAAAAAAAAATTAATTGGTGGTAAAGATGTGAGGAAAAGAAACTGTCCACTGTTCAAGGAAATGTGGACTAGAACAGCCATTGTGGAAAATGCAATGAAAATTCTGCAGAAAACTGAAAGTAGATCCACTAAATTATCTGGCCTGCCTACTCCTGAGCATTTACCCCCCAAAAATGAAAACAGCACATGAAAGAATTATCTCCTCTAAGTTTGTTGCAGCTTAATTCACAATAGCTAAGATATGGAATTAACCCAGATGCTCATCAATTCATGACTAGATAAAGAAAATATGGTGTGTATACACTATGGAATATTATTCAGCCATAAAAAGAATGTGACCCCGTCTTAACAAAATGGATGCTACTAGAAAACATTATACATAGTTAAATAACCCAGTCCTGAATAGACAAATACCATAGGTTTTATTCTAATCTGTGGTAATTAAGAGATTACAAAAATAGCAATGCATAATTATTTGCATTTCAAATTCCACAAAATTATTTTGTGCATAAACTGCTGAAAGATGACACTTTAACATCTAAATGATCAAGGATCCAAATCCAATCCCTGGAATAAGGACAGTCTATTCAATAAATGGTGTTGGGAAAATTGGATTTCCATGTGCAGAAGCATGAAGCAAAACCCTATTTCACCTTACACAAAAATCCACTCAACATAGATTAAAGACTTAAATCTATGACCAGACACCATCAAATTATTAGAGAACATCAGAGAAACCCTGCAAGATATCGGCACAGGCAAAGACTTCTTGGAAAAGAAACCAGAAGCACAGGCAGTCAAAGCCAAAATTAACATTTGGGATTGCATCACATTGAGAAGTTTCTGTACTGCAAAAGAAACAGTCAGGAAAGTGAAGAGGCAACTGACAGAATGGGAAAAAATATTTGCAAACTATGCAACAAATAAAGGGTTAATAACAAGAATCTACAAAGAGATCAAGAAACTCCACAACATCAAAACAAACAACCCACTCAAGAGATGGGCCAAGGACCTCAATAGACATTTTTCAAAAGAGGAAATCCAAATGGCCAACAGGCACATGGAAAAATGTTCAAGGTCATTAGCAATCAGGGAAATGCAAATCAAAACCACAACGAGGTTTTACCTCACCCCAGTTAGAATGGCTCACATTCAGAAATCTACCAACAATAGATGCTGGAGGAGGTGGGGAAAAAGGGACACTAACCCACTGTTGGTGGGAATGCAAACTGGTTAAGCCACTATGGAAGTCAGTCTGGAGATTCCTCAGAAACCTGAATATAACCCTACCATACAACCCAGCCATCCCACTCCTTGGGATTTACCCAAAGGAAATGAAATTGGCAAACAAACAAGCTGTCTGCACATTAATGTTTATTGCAGCTCAATTCACAATAGCTAAGACCTGGAACCAACCCAAATGCCCATCAACGGTAGACTGGATTAAGGAATTATGGGACAGTACTATAGAATACTATACAGCAGTTAAAAACAATTTAAACCGGGCATTTGCAACAAAATGGGGGAATCTGGAAAACATTATGCTGAGTGAATTAAGCCAGTCCCAAAGGGACAAATATCATATGTTCTCCCTGATCGGCAACAACTAACTGAGCACCAAAGGGAAACTTTTGAAGTGAAATGGACACTATGAGAAACAGTGACTTGATCAGCTCTTGTCATCACTGTTGTGTATAATGTAATACGTTATCCCTATTAGTATTTTTTTTTGTTTTAGTACTATTTGTTGAACTCTGTAATTAACACACATTTATTCTTAGGTGTTGAAATTCAACTCAAAAGTGATCCCTGTTAAATCAAGTGGGAATAAGAGAGGGGGAGATGTACAATTTGGGACATGCTCAATCAGACTTGCCCCAAAGGGTGGAGTTAGAAATGTGCCAGGGGATTCCAATACAATCCCATCAATGTTGCATGTACCAATGCCATCTCACTAGTCCAAGTGATCAACTTCAGTTCACAATTGATCACACTGATATGTCTAAAAGTCAAAGGGATCACACAAACAAGGCTAGTGTCTGCTAATACTAACTGATAGAATCAAAAAGGGAGGAATGATCCAACATGGGAATTGGGATGCACAGCAGACTCACAGAATGGCAGATGTCCTAAATTGCATTCTGGCCTCAGAATCAGCCCTGAAGTCATTCAGATTTGGCTGAAGAGCCCATGAGAGTATTAAGGCTTGGAAAGCCAAGACACTCTGGGGAAAATAAAAAGAAGACCTAAATGAAAGATCTCTGCAAGTGAGATCCCAGTGGAAAGAATGGGGCCATCAAAGAAGGAGGTACCTTTCTCTGAAGGGAGGAGAGAACTTCCACTTTGACTATGACCCTGTCAGAATAAGATCAAAGTTGTTGAACCCAAAAGTCTTCCATAGCCTTGGCAACTCATGACTAAATTCTAGGGAGATTCCTGATGCCATAAACAAGAGTCAAATTGTTAAGTCAACAACAGGAGTCACTGTGTACTTACTTCTCATGTGAGCTCTGTCCTTAATGTGTTGTGCAATGTGAAGTAATGCTATAACCAGTACTGAAACAGTATTTTTATTTTGTGTTTCTCTGTGGGTGCAAAGTGATGAAATCTTTACTTAATATACTAAATTGATCTTCTGTATATAAAGATAATTGAAAATGAATCTTAGGCTGGTGCCATGGCTCAATAGGCTAATCCTCCACCTAGCGGCGCTGGCACACTGAGTTCTAGTCCCGTCGGCATGCCAGATTCTGTCCCGGTTGCCCCTCTTCCAGTTCAGCTATCTGCTGTGGCCAGGGAATGCAGTGGAGGATGGCCTAAGTCCTTGGGCCCTGCACCCCATGGGAGACCAGGATAAGCACCTGGCTCCTGCCTTCGGATCAGTGTGGTGCAATGGCTATTGCGCGCTGGCCACGGCACCCATTGGAGGGTGAACCAACAGCAAAAAGGAAGACCTTTCTCTCTCTCTCTCTCTCTCACTCTCCACTATCCACGCCGTCAAAAAGAAAGAAAGAAAGAAAGAAAGAAGAAAAAAAGAAAGAAAGAAAGAAAAAAGAAAGAAAGAAAGAAAATGATTCTTGATGTGAATGGAATGGAGAGGAGCAGGAAATGGGAGGGTGCAAGTGGGAGGAAAATTCGGGGGAGGGAGCCAATGTAATCCATAAACTGTACTTTGGAAATTTATATTTACTAAATAAAAAATGTAAAATATATTCAAAATATACAAAATGAGAAATACAAGTTGACACTACCAAGAAAAAATAACACAAAATGAGTAAAAACATCACTTAATCATGAAGGAAAAATAACAGCAATATTCAACTTTACTGATATGAAGTAAATTTAAAGTAGTCATAAAGTCATTAAAACTACTATTAAATAATTTCTATCAATTTATTAGATGCATGCTTTTAAAATGGTTTAAAAATACAGTATGTGCAGCACAATTGACATATTCAGGCATAATTTTTTAAAAATTTTTATCCCACCTAACAGATAACGTATGGTATCATTCATTCTGTGTCTGATTTATTATACTAAACATTTGTCCTCCAATTCCAATAATTTTCCTGCATTTGTTGGATTTTCATGCTTTTGTCTTTTTTTTTTTTTTTTTTTTACAGGCAGAGTGAACAGTGAGAGAGACAGAGAGAAATGTCTTCCCTTGCCGTTGGTTCACCCTCCAATGGCCGCTGCGGCCAACGCACTGCAGCCGGCACACCGCGCTGATCCAATGGCAGGAGCCAGGTACTTATCCTGGTCTCCCATGGGGTGCAGGGCCCAAGCACTTGGGCCATCCTCCACTGCACTCCCTGGCCACAGCAGAGAGCTGGCTGGCCTGGAAGAGGGTCAACCGGGACAGAATCCAGAGGCCCGACCGGGACTAAAAACTGGTGTGTCGGCGCTGCAAGGCGGAGGATTAACCTAGTGAGCGCGCACCAGCCCATGCTTTTGTCTTACATTAACATTTTATTTGTGTGTGCTTTGTGTGTTTGTATGTGTGTATGCAAATATCTTTAGCCCTTCATTTGATTAGTTAATTCTACATTTTTGCATTATGAACAGTGATGCTATTCACATGGTAAAGCAGGTATATTTAAGCCAATATTTTTGTGTCTATTCTGTATATATCCAGGAGTGAAATTTTTGAATCATATAGCAAATCTATTTTTAGATTT